TCTTCTTGCGGTATCCCATCATTGCCCTGGCCCAGCGAACACGGTACTCCTTTACATCATCTCTTTCGTGACCATCAAAATAGATCTGTCGACAATTTTAAAAGGAGTACGTTTAGCTATCTATCTAATGTGCTAATATATAGTTGATATTTTCCATGTACGTACATCTTTTCCACTTTCTCTATACTCAAATCCCCAGTGAGCCATATATCGTGTGATGGTGCGCTCAGATACTGCTGCGTTGCTGATATTGGATACTTTCGGAAATATATTCGTTTCTAGTTCCACCTTGAGCTCTGGGATACTCCTTTCTGCTGGCTTTCGACTACGGATCCAAGTGCAAGCTGCCTCCTTGACATTTTCATCAGCCAAAAGTGACGCAGACTTAACATGAGCACCTTGGCGATTAATGCAAATCTTGCCGGTTTCAAGATACTCTTTGGTCCACCAACGGATTCTTGTCAGCAAATGTTTATGGTGCATACTGACTTGAATCGTTAATATATTTGAAATACCGACCCAAAAAAAGAAAGTGTATCAGAGTTGTCCAAAGTGAATTTTCTGAGATTCTGACCAGCAAGATGTGTTTAATAGCATATTATAAGCATTTCTTACTCGTTATTTTATGAAAAAAGGTGTTTTGGAGAGCTCTGATAGCCATCAAAGTTTTGTCGGAATATGAAAATTTACTATATAGACCCAAGATTTCGACAAGGTGGGAGGGGTAGATCAGTGAGGTGATGTAGGCTATTACAGTCTGTGTAACATTGCATTCGTCATGGTTACACAAACACGTTATCTTCATTATCATACTGCTTTTACACAAGGGTTGTGTTTCCTTCATTGATACTCGCTCATTGTAGTGAAGCTACACTACTTTGAGATTGATCCAAATAACTCAACCCACTCCACCATCTTCGTAACCATTAAAATGCAGTAGAGAAAACACCACACACATAGATGAATCAAATATTACATAATTAGCACCATATTGATAATCTCTCAAACATGGATCACAATCGAGAATGACTCAGGACCAACTATTATCAATACTTCGTTGCAATATAATATCGATAATCTCTCAAACATGAATCAAAATCGAGGATAACTCAGTACCAACCATTGTCAGTACTTCGTTTCAATCTACATTATCTGAGTTGAGCGAAGTGTACCTGTCAAAGAGCGGATATCATACGTCGATACTACAACCGTTACTAGCGTTATATTTAAGCATACAAGGATATGAAAGACGATCGTGAAGCTGCCAAGATCGTAGAGAAAAATAACTTCTAGAAGTTACAAATCCCACCGCAGAATTATTGCAAGTGATTAGTTTGTATTTTTACCTCCGTTATTTCTGACTATCATAAATAAATGAGTATAGTATCGATCATGTAATTCCCTGACTAGTGCAAACATAGAGTATGATATATGAAGAAACGTATCGGGTGTTTCAGGTGTTAATTTGGCCGCGGTGTTTCAAAAAATGCTCAATTTTCGACAGCTCATGGTTTAAGTCAGTATGCACCATAGTGTGTTTCTCCCAAATGGCATCTGCAACCAATCGTGTTGCCTCCATAATACGCATGTTATCGTCGATCCGGAGCTTGGCATATTTTTCGATGCTAAGGTATTTGTTGGCCTCAATAGTTGACATCATGCTTATTTCGGTTTTCTTATTTTTGATATCCTTGCGTAATTGGATCAAAGCAGGCCGCACAATCTTTAACATCTCCAGCTCTTCATCGATTTCAACGTCGGCATCTTCATCATCACTGCTGCTGTTGCTCGTTTCCATAGGATCTTGAATCTTAGTAAATCCCATATCAGTAAGCCGTCTCATTTTTTCTACATGGGTAGCGAGTTCCTTAGCATCCCGTTTTCGTCGATAATAAGTACTTTCTGATTTGCCTCCATTCACCCAACATTGTCAATATTTTTCTCAGGATGCAATAGACCATTTGTATGTGTTTCATAGTGCTGCTATCATAATTATAGAGAATATATACCAGTATACGAGCTTCTTAGCTTATTGTCGGCACCTTGAAACCATTCAAGCAAACGAGTTCCTGAACGTTCCAGTACAGTATCATCCCTTTCATGTTCCAACCCATTAGTATCGTCGTATTCACAAGAATCATCGGAAGAATCATCACTGCTATAGCTAGCACGTGAGCTATCTGTAGGTTCAGGTAGTTTTTTGCCGAATTGGCTACTTTGCACACGTTACTGGTTGTTTTTGACAAGGCGACTTCGTCTGTTGACGCTTCCCATAATGAATATTAGATTCTTTGTAAAAGAAAGAGGTGCATAAGACTACAATCTACTGACGAAATTTCTATACGCAGCAATATGTAACAGTATAATCGATAATCGGTGAAGATCTCATGTAATACAAATTCGGCATATATATTTGCCGAACAAACGAAAGCTCCTGATTGGTTTAAGCTGGATTCGAACTACTGTCAATTTTCCCTATCACTTATAAACTTGTTCCGACTTTGAGCGACGGTAACTCAAAACTTTATTAGAAAAATGAAAAATCCAAACCGATAACTTTGTTCTCCTAGTCAAAAGGAACATTTTTATCGGTTTAAAATTTTGATATGGGGTGGTGAGATGGTTTCACAGTACTTTAAAGTTACCTACTAAAGCGGTACGGTTTAAGGCGGCGTGCACCATATCTACTTGTATATCTTTTTTTTCTTTTTTTTAGTATATGTTTTTTACTATGTGAGCAACAAAGAAAGTCAGGTTTATTATCAGATAAGTTAGTTCTTATTTTTTTCCCACAAAACGTACCTTTCTTTTTTCCTCTTTTAGATTTATATGTACAAAAGCTATTATGCATCGAAAGATATAGGAAATAATCAGTAGAGAATAAATTTTTTATTTTTCTATTAACTTTTTTATTAACTTTTTCAATTATGTTTTTTTCAATAAAATGATTAAATTCAGATTGCATGAAAACATCTAGTTCATTGCATAAATTTGTACACAGTTGGATATAGTTGATGGGGAGAAATTCATTTAGGCAAACCATTTTGAGAGCACTTTTTATATTATATTTTAATATGCACAATTTAAAACTCCGGATTTGAAAAAATATCATAAATAGATGAAATTTTATAATAAATTTGTAAATATCAGACTATGAGATGTTCCGCGTACCAAAAACTTTTCACATTTTCTGTCTATCTTTTACCCTATACTTGTACTTCTCACTTGAATTGATCCCATCCTTTTCTAAATACATCTTTGTCTATGTGCCGATCCCACAAGTGTATCATATTCAGTAGCCACTTCAGATACGCCTTGCATTTCATTAATTTTGGATGATGAAATGGAATATTAACTCATGTGGCTCCTGCTGTTGCTGGAATGATATGTAACTAGGAGTGTTACCGAGTACTTCTATCTCTCCGTCCGTTTCTCTCTGCTTTTGCTCGTATTAATTACGCCATCGAATACAATATTCAGTGTAGGTATCGAATAGAAGGATCAGTAGTTGAGCGATGCAAGGCTGTGGAAGTAGACACAGCACCGTCGAGGCAGTGAGGCTTTTCGGTCCTGCCCATTTCTCATTTAACTTCTGTATCTGATCTTTGCTATATCACCCACTCCATGGGTAGTCTTTCTTTAACGTTTACATTCCAAATATGTCACTTAAGTTTGTCGAACGATGAATGAACCGATTGAATACTTGCTTTTTTGCCTATAATTGGGCTCGGTGGTCACTCACGTGGTTTTTATCAGGCACTCTTCTTGTGGCTTCGATAAACTCCATATCATTAATGACTGATGAAAATGATTACTGTTGTGTACTACTTATCAGACAGTGTAAGAGATTGTTGCTAAAATACAACGTACACGGCAGGGTTACTTGAAATATGGGAGACCTTCATGGCTCTGGAAATAATCCCTGTTCACAATGTAGCTATATAATGATTGGTGCACAGTTGCAGCCTGCTGCTGGCCAGCTGAACCGATGAGGTTGGCACAATACAATAGTCACAAGCGTCGCGTAATCCACTCATTTTACCCATCTCTCTATTTTACACTTTTTTCTGTCTTACCCAGACATCGACTTGCAGCTCCTGGTACGATGCTACCGTTTTTGTGTCCAACACGCCTTTAGTACGATTCAGGACCAGGCTTCCATCCGCTCACTGAAAGACTCGGTTGTTTCCTAAGGACCAATAAAGCTTTGAAGCATCTAGTGGACAATGGACTGGCATGCGTTTCGTCAGTTTCGCACTTGTTCTTATTCTTCTTGAAGCATTGCGACAGTATGCATCACAATTCTAATAAGTTTGTTTCGGAATGTATGTTCTCATATTGGAGTATACGTGCATGTGATATATTGTATTTTACTAAATCAAAATCACTGTAGACAGCCCTACCAAAGACTGTCAGTTAGTATATTGCCAATCTCACAGAAAGGCCAATAAGCCAAGCCCTCGCTACCAATATAATCAAACCCAAATTTCGAGCAAGCAGCAGTAGTACGAATGTAGTGTCTAGACCTACTTTGCAAACTACTAGATAATGGGCTTTGTACGAATTCGCACTTAAAACTCCATATGAATAGTATGTATTCATATGAACTGGGTACTTTAACTCTGTGGCTCATCAATATTGCTTTTCATTAAAGTGCTGCACACAGCCTCATCCTCAACTTGGCCGATCCCCGACTAAAGGAGGACATCCTGACATAATCTAAACATTAATATTTCAAATAAATTTTAAAATTTAACTATTTCGAAGTACTTATCTATAATTAATGTTTCATTAAAGCTTTCTTGCCACACCTATTCATTGTATGTTTCATCATAGTTTTTTCATTTTACCAGAAATTTCATCCTCTTTTTGAATTTTCTATGACTTAGTATTCTTTCTACTTCAAAATTTTCTTCATCATTTTCACTTTCCAGATCCATGTTTAATTCATTTGATCTTTGCATATTGTTATATTCAAAATAATTATATAAGAAATCTGATTATCTATTATTCATTTCCACTAGTTTTACTAACTTAAACTTGTATATAATATTATCTATTTCTTTATCTGGATTAGGATAATTAAAGTTTTCATTAGACCATAAAATATGGTTTAGTTTTATAGGTATATTATAAATATTAACAAGCTTTTGTATATTTAATAATAAAAGTACTAATTTCTATTGTATATTATATATTTTTATACCTATTATTTTACAATTTCTTTCATTATTATTAAGTCTTTTAAATTTATTACCAAGTAAACCAAAATAACTTTCAATTTTACTTCTGAAGCTACCAAATGTCTCATTATATAATATTTCATCATCAGTTAACTCCTCATTTTTATTTTTTCTAATTGGAAACATAAAATTACTTGTACTTATATTATCGTTTCCTTTTTTATCACAATTTTCTATAAATTTTTCAAAGTAATAATTGTGATAATAGAGCTTTAATAAAGATAATAAGGGACAAGATTAAGTATCTTTGAGATGATGTTTTATTCCAATAAAAGATAAAGCTCTTTTATATTCTAGCTATTAAGACGGCGATATCAATTCATCCGACTAATGGATAAACTATGTGATAGAGGATGGATCAAGGACATATCAGAACTTCTATTGAAGTCGCTATGTTAATCGGGCACATCTTTGAGACTGGCGTTAGCTGATGTAATGGCTGAGGTACCTGTTGATAGGTTCATTGTCCTGTTCACGTAAGGTGGATCATCTGAGTGAGAGATTTTATTCAATAGTGTTTAGCCGAAATGCCGTAGTGTTCATACGTGTGTGCTATAATGTTTAACTGAATATCTTATTGTTGATATCTTAAGCAGTGTATTAATGTGGTTCACCACAATAATAATATCCACTATCAAATGTAAGACAATCATTTTCATTTAATTTATTTTCTAATTTCATTTCTAAAAACATTTGACCATCATTATAATTTCTACATGGTTTGCTTTCAGAAACATATATTGCAAATTCATTAACATCGCAAACTACTTGTGTCCTTAAGCCACTTTTTTTAAACTTATAAGAATAAAATTTTCTTTTCTTTATATCTTTTTTAAATAGTCAATTCTACTATCATGACTATCTATGAAAAGAGTATGATGTTTAAATCCTATTGGATTAATTTTTTTAGCATTAATTATTCTCAAAGCAGTAGATGAAAACATATTTTCCAATAACTCTGTAAATAATCTATTTAATTCATTTTTATTATCATCCCAAAATTGTTTATACATTTCATGAAATGAAGAATATGGTATAGAATCTTCCATATCTCTGATGGAATCTCCTATAACTAAATGATGTACAGTGGACCCCCGCTTTTTTCAAGGCTGCCATTCCTGAGCACTCTTGAAAATAAAGCGGGTTTGAATTTCATCGGGGGAAGGGTAGTGGCAGCAATCTTCCGGATAAACTTTTAAAATTTAGCTGAAACTTTCTCACTACTGTACAGTACTGTTTCTAAATCCATACTGCCACATGCTTTTTTGCTTTATATTATATGGAATATATATTTTCTACAATTACCTGACACACAGCTCTACTTGTTTAAGATTTTGATAAACATATAATGACTTCCCTAGTTTCTCTTGAGATCCGATCTTATCAATTACTTGCTCCGATAAATAAAGAAAAAACGAATGACAGCCGCGAGAAGCCAGCAAACTCACTTCTGAAACAACACCATTCACTACTTGTGATCAGTCTTATCTGCTTTTTAGAGGAAGGCTCCCTCAAAGAAAGGCTTAGACAAGTGAGAGACCACTTGCGCCGACAGCAAATGAATGGGACACAGAGAACCTTAACCTCTTTTTTTAGAGCATAACAATAGGCATACATGGTCATAAACGTAGATATACACCTCAAATTCGCAAATTGTATTAAAAATATTCATACATCTTTATATGAATACGATCCACATGATGTTGCAAAATATAGATACTTCACCCCCGTATAGAGTTCAAGGGTAAAAGATATATTGAAAATGAAAAATAACGAGGTATTGAAAAATTTATTAATGATTTTGGGTCATTCCCTAGAAATTTCTTGAAAAAGCCCGGGTATTGAAACGAATGGGGTTGAAAAATTCGGGGGTCCACTGTAAAATCAATAATCCTTTTTCTATAAATACATATGGTCCTTTATAATCATATTTATTAAATATTTTTACTAAAACAAAGAACACAGGAATATACCCTATTTTACTAGTAAGTTCTTCTTTTACTTTTTCTATGTTATCAATACTTTTAATCTCTTCTCTATGCTTATAATTAGATATTTCTATGGGATAATTCATATCCAAGAAGTACTAATATTTACTATTTATATTTTGTAATTCATTTGTTAATATCTCTTGTTCCATTTTTATATTAAGAATAAATTCAATTTTTAATTAATTACATAAAGTTAATAATTATGATACCCTTTGAAATTTCTGGTAAAATGGAAAAACTATGATGAAACATACAATGAATGGGTGTGGCAAGAAAGCTTTAATGAAACATTAATAATAGATAAGTATTTAGAAACAGTTAAATTTTAAAATTTATTTGAAATATTAATGTTTAGATTATATTAGGATGTCCTCCTTTTTAAAAAATATTAAGATTTTCTATAAAATAATATACAAATTATTATCAAGGAGGACATTCAGCTACATTAGATCTTTTAAAATTATTTATTTATAGAAATATAACTTATAGTTAAAAGATAATAAAAGGTTTATAGGTCATTAAAAAATTATAATATTTTTTAATGTAATAAGTCTAAAAACAAAAAACTATATTTATAAATATGGTTTTTTAATTTTGTAATCCTAATAAAATTTGTAATTATTAAGTATTTTTGTAATTCTTATGAATACAAAAATTCTGTAAATATAAAATAGGGGTGGTTGAGAAACTTGCTTTCGAAACATTGGGGCTTGATAATGAGATTTAGACTAATAACAAAAACATTTATGTTTTGTTATTATAAGAGAGAACAAATGCTATAATTTGTTCCTCATACATTATTTTATATATAACATAATTTATGATCTATTTTTTTTAACATTTTTATTTTTATTTCTTTTAAATGCCAAGACTTCTAATATATCACATGGCCCCGAAAAGTTGAGAAATAATTATCAATTTTTTATTACTTTTCTTTTTCTTAATTTAATATTGAATAATAAAAATAAATAAACAAAAAAGTCATATGATATATTAGAAGTCTTCGCATTTAAAAAAAATAAAAATAAAAATGTTAAAAAAAATAGATCATAAATTATGTTATATATAAAATAATGTATAAATAAATAATTTTAAAAAATCTAATGTAGCTGAATGTCCTCCAAAGACCATCTTCATTGCAGAGCAGATAGAAAAGCTCAAAAGCCACAATCTCAAGCCGCTACCTAAGCATCCCGAGAATATCTCGACATTTTTTGAGAAATTTAAGGGAAAGGTACTATTACTTGGGGCTAATATATAAATGCAGGTGCAAGAATATTCAATTCTCAATCTTAAACATCAGAAAAGTCACTTGACGATCTGTGGGAAATAGTGGACAGTGCACGTTTCCATCCTGTGGAAGAATACGACTGTGACTGGGCTAAGAGAAGCATACTAAGCATTTTATCTGCGTATCGCTGGGATATATGATCTGTGACTGCCAAAACTGGTGGCGAAAGAGACATTGTCATCTTGTGCTGGAGCAACATTGACTCCTGCTTCCAGAACATCCAAGTGCAAACATTACGGTAGGTTCGATTCATTCTGGCAGATCTTTTTTCCTAAAAGGGACTAGGGCAATTGCTAAATTTTTGATGAATTTTTTCTCATCTATAGTTGGTAATAATTTTTTTTATTATGAAATAATGTATCCCCCCATTGGCCCAGTACCCCCCCTGGCCCAGTAGGGGATAGTCGGGGTATGGCTCTAAGATAGAAAAGATTAAAACTAGAAGTAAAGAATAAATCTCCCACCCTTGCTATAAAATATTTTGAAAAATTTTTTTATTGTAAGAGTAATTTATAACTAAGAGATGAATAACTTAAAATGGTAATTCCTACAGAATCTACAATTTCGTTATAGTAATAAATAAATAAGAATAACTATATAATAAGTTAAAAATCAATAAAGTCATAATCTCAAAAATAAGTAATAATTGATGGATAAAAATATATTTAGATCTTAAATGATAATGATTTAAGCCATTTAGGTAGTTTATCTAAATATTTAATTAATTTTTTATCAAGAATATATTCCATTAATAGAAACAATATAGAAAATAATACCATAGAACCAATTAGTAGTTCTACAAATCTAACAAATTGAGTTAGATTTAGATCAGTAGTATTGAATAGATCCCAGTCATAGATTGAATCAACAGTAATATTTTCTGAAGATGAATTAGAATTATTTGATTGGGATGAAATAGCTTGAGTATTTGAAGAAGATTTTGAATCTAATAATTCTTGAAATTGTTTATTCTATTTTTCTTTTTCAAACTCAAATTTATCTCTTTCTTTCTCTTTCTTTCAATCTTGAAACATTTTTTAATTTCATTTTAGTTAAATGATATGTTGAAGTAAGACCGCCTAATGTTCCAATTGCACCTACTGTCTTAAAAAATTGTTTTGAATTAAATTGTGTGAAAATAATATTATAATAAAGGAGAATCTCTTAATCAAGGGGTTGGTTTACATTGTCATCTCCTTACTTTTATAGTTTGTAAGAAAGACTAAAACTAAACAAATTTGAGGTGATTAAGATTAGTAGAAGTTCAACTATTAAAAATCTTAAATTAAAATAATCCTCTATGACGCAGTAAATCTATTTAGGTATTAAATATCCTGATCAACCCATATGTTATCCTTGTTTGTGTGAATCTAGGATAAACTCTAGGTAAGAATCTCTTGTATAATTGTGAATAACAAATAATTTATATACATAAAATAATCTATTTATTATTTATCTTGTTAGTGGTAGTCTATTAAAAAGATGAGGGAGGAAAAGGGGAAATCAAAATTAAAGGTAGGTTCTAAGGTTTCTTATCGTCTTAAGAATATACCACTTTTGCCCCCTAGATATCTAGGCAACAAACCAAACCAAGCAAATGTTAATGGTATTAGTATTAATTATCTTTATGTGATATAATTATTTAAAAGTATAGAGAGATTCTTTTCATTTACTAAATTATTTTAAAAGTAATCCAATAAAGATATGTAATGTATTAATCTTTAAATCTAATCGATAGATGTTTTACCTTGATTAGATTTTTATTATGCCTAAAATCTTATTAACTGCTATCCCCACTATTCTAGGTGGATCTTATCTTTATATTCATAAAGATGAGATTCTTCTATACTTAACTATTATCTATATTCTAACTATTTCAGTTAGGATATTTACTGATCTTAGACAAGCTAGATTACTATCTTCTATTCATGATATGAATTTAAAACAAATTGAATTATTAGATGGTCTTCTTTATAATCAAGTTAAAGATCTTGAGCTTAGATATAAAACTAAAGGTTTAGTTCTAGATCAAAAGGATCCTGAAACTGAATCTATAATTCAAGATTCTCTTGAAACTGAACCTGTAATTAAAGAGAATGCTATATCTTTAACTAATATTAAGGAAACATCATTAGAATCAGGATTTAGAACTTGGTATGATAATAATGTAGAAAGATCTAATAATTCCTATACTCGATTAGGAAAGAAAGATACCACTTCAGATAGGACTCTGTTTGGAAATTACTTGCAATATTGTAAAGATCATAAATCATAATATTAATGTATATAAATTTAGTGATTTTACTCATAATTTATTTAGAGTCCTGAAGTTATACAAAGATCTTACACACGAAGAGATTAGAATGGGTAGAAGCCCTGCTATTACTAATCTAAAATTAAAAAAATAGTATAGCTTATACTATTTTAATAATTAAAAATAAATCTATGGCATCTTTTAGGCTTTATACAAATTAATTATGTTATTTATTTTTTATCTTTATTGTTCGAGAATTTGAAAAAGTATCAACCAACTTCAAATTCTGAAACTATTGTTAATCCTATTTTCTCTATATTCGAGGATAACTTTAGTAATTTCTTTTTTTCAAGAGAGATTTCTCAATCAGCTGTATTTAATTCATTAATTAATGATTTTAATCTATTTTCTATTGAATTACCTTCAATTCAATTACTAAGTATTCAATTTCCTAAGTTTGAATATCTTGAGATTAAATTACAAGATAATACACTAAGTAGTAATGGTATTTTTGAATCAATTAAAAATAAAGTTAGTAATATTGATTGGAGTTCAATCCCACAGATTCTTTCAGAAATTGAATAGAATCATTACTTGAATGTTATTTGTGTTTCATGATCTTTAATGATTACTGGTTTCATTTTGTATCAGACTTATACAGCTGTGTCTGCAATTTATGCATATGCTTGAACTCCTTGTGATTATCTTAATAGATGGATTGATTCAGGGGTTGAAGGATTTAATTCAAGTATTGAATGGATTAATTCTACTACAACTAGTGTTTATTTTTCTATTACTGCTCCATTTAGCTCTAGTATTGAATGGATTAATTCTACTACAACTAGTGTTTATTTTTCTATTACTACTCCATTTAGCTCTAGTATTGAATGGATTAACAATACTACTAGTATTATTAATAATACAGTAAGTACTTCATTATTAGAGAATGAGTTAATTAATTCAGGTATTAATCGATTTAATTCATTAGTAGAATGGTATGATTCATTTTATGATTCAGATGATGATTTAGAATCTGATTCTGAATCTGAGGATTCAATTATTAATATTGAACCAGAATTGAATACTAATTTAAGAGCAAGTTTCCTTAGATTCGCTCAATATTATATGGCTAGGGTTAGACCTGATATTAATATTAATAATATTAGTATTCTTAATTTATTAACTTATTTTATGAATAGAGATAGAGATAGTGATTTTGATCGAATTAGATATTCATCAATGAGGATTGAAGATAATTCATCTCTTCCAATTTCAGAATCATTAGGTGTAAGAATCTATAGAACTATTAGTAATTTAAGATTAAACTATAATTTTCTAACTTATCTCAGAGGTAATAATATTGATCTAAATAATAATAATATTAGTAACACTAATATTGATGAAATGATTATTTCTAATTCAAATATTGGAGGAATCATTTCTTCTGATTCATTTAATCCATGAGAAGAATTTAATAGATTATCTTCTCAAACATTAGAGAATTTTAATTCAAGAAGAACCAATTGATGATTCAATTAGGTTATTTCAAAATATTAATATTTTAATTATGGATCAAGATTATACTACTTCTTCTTGTTTCTAGGAGCGACCAACATATAGTATCTGGATCCGCATGTGTCAACGAAGGTCATTTGTCATTAGATGGCTCCATCCATCCAAAAGTCCATGCCTTGAAGCCAGACCTGATACTGAGAAACGACCAATTGGAGTACGGTGTGGCGGAGAACGGCTTTGTCGATGAAAGCAGTGTCGGAGAGAAAGAGCTCCATGAAACATTCATGAACCTCCCAAAAACACTAAAAGACATCATGCTAAAGTTGATTGCTAAGGTCGAGCACGATGAAGAGAGTGTCCGTTTGTTGCGAGTGGTAGGCATGGTCCATGCATGTAAGTCTTCAGTTCCACTAGGACAACCAATCTGTTTCGCTCTTGTTTGACTAAAGACTACTCGTATTTTCTACCAGATTTGCATATGAAAACATATGTGATGGACGTTCCAGATGGATATATGTGCTGTATCCGGGAAATCAAACAACAGCAAAGTCCAGAAACATTGATCGACTTTTATAAAACCTACATCCCGTATTTAGAAGCTGTCCTTAAGATTAAGGTAACATCGTTATTCATTTTCTCTGCAGTGGATTCACAACTTCCGCTCATAAGAAAACAACAGGGAATCGTAAAATCGACCATGGATGTAGTTGCCAAGCCAAAGAAAAACAGGTCAGATTTCGTATCGAGCGTAACAGAAACAAGCACAGTCATCATCCCATCAGCATTGAACGGACCTGTCAAAATAACCCCACAAAAAAGAAAGGCCGACGACTCTGAGTGTTCATATATGCAAGAAAAATAAGCACGCATTTACCTACCCACAATCACTCTAAACCTTTTCCGACAAAAACGCATCTACATTTCCACCCATCTTTAACATGCTCTTTTCACTGCATTATATTTCCATCTTTGACGCTGTAGGGGTATGTATCCTAGTTGTAATATTTCATAAAAATTAAAAGTACAAATTTTTTAAGAGTTACAAAAATTTCTCATGATTATAAATTACTTTTAATTATTTATAAAATTGAATTTTATATTTATAAAAAAGATAAATTGTATAATGGACCAGCAAGATTTAAATTAAAAAATAAATAATGAAGTTAATAAAATTATTATTAATAATTGGAAATTTTTAGAATCTAATTGGCCTATTATAAACCATAAGTATAAACATCGTACAGAAATAAAACATATTAAAAATATTAAAGAAATTAAAAAAATTCTAGTTGATAAACTTGGATATATATCAGTATTCTTTTTTTTAATAATATTATATACTAATTGTGAATATGCTGGACCTTATTTCGAAATAGAAAAAGGGTTATTCCTATTATATCAATTAGCATCAGGTATATCAGGTATAGAAATTAATAAATATTTGCCTCAAGCAACATATCATAAATATTATAAAAAATTTTGGATGGATGAAGATAATTACAAACGAATAAATAAAATAGTTAATAATTCTTTAGAAAATATGTTTTCAACAGTAACATAACGTATTTTATCATCATATAAATATAATCCACCATTATTTAAGCATATTACATTTATTATTGATGGATATGATTCACGAATAAATTATGTTAATACTGATATAAGGCGTGAAAGATTATTTTCTTATAAATTTAAAAAAAATGGTATACGAACACAAATTGTATCTGATATGAATGATATGATAATTTATACATCAAAAAGTGATTATTGTTCTGATAGTTCTGATGGCTCTATGTTCTTAAATATGAAACTATATAACAAATTAAGCAAACAAGATGTATTAGTAACTGATAGTAGATATACTTTATTTATAAATCAATTTGATAGAACTTTCAAGTGAAAAAGGATATGATTTATCTAAAAATAATTTTATATATCCAATCCATAAAGAAATTAATGTAAATTTAACAGCAGATGAAAGACGTTATAATGACGTATTTGGTAGTTTTAGATCAAAAATTGAAAACCAGTTTTCAGAAATTGGTAATAAATACTATAGATTTAATAATAATAAATCCATAGTAAAAATGAATAATATAAAATTTTATAATCTTCAGTTTCGGGTTGCTTGTTTACTAAAGAATATAAAAAAGTTTTGTGATAAATTTAATATAAATATACAAGTACATCATAAATTATGGGAATCTAATGACTTTGAATTTCCATTTGAAGCTAAATTAATAGATATTGTTATTAGTAATTCAAGTGAAGCTGCATTAAAAAAAGATAAAATAATTAAATTACAAGAACAGTTTTTAAATTTTGATATTGATGATAATATGAATATTGATAATGAGGTTATTGAAGATAATAATAGTAATAATAATGATAGTAGTGAAGATGATATTCCTAAGTTTAATGAAAAGAAAAGAAGACGTAAAGGTAAAGGGAAGGAAAAAGCTATTAATATAAGTAAAGTTAGAAGTATAGAGGATGAAGCATATAAAATAGAAAGTATAGTTGACCATAAAATTAAGCATAATGAATATATATTTTTTATGAAATGGAAAAATTATCTATCTATAGATAATAGTTGGTTGCATATTAATAGATTTAATGAAAAGGATTTAGTGAATGAATATATTCTAAAACATCATCTAAACATATAATTTCATATTATTAAGGTAAAATATTAATAAAACATAACAGAAAAGGATTTCCAATGATTAATTTCATTAGTCTTTTTTTCTTCTTTTTTTTATTATATTTATATTTGATAATTCTTCATTATTCGATTTTTTATTAAATCTTTGATTTTCAGCAATATTATAGTGCATGCCACCTTAAACCATACCTCCAGCAAAAATTACTGTCAGTTTTATAATTTATATCCCCGCTATTTTTCAAATGCCGCATATAAAATGGATAGATATATTTACATGTTCTTTCGAACTCTTCTGTGAGATGTGTAGATTTTTACAGCATTAATAGCATCACGACCTTCTAAACCATTATGGTATGCCTTAATGTATCTCCATGCTCTACGCTTGAAATTACGGATCATTGGCAGCGGAATACTATCGAGAACTTCGGGGACAGTTTTCTTGAGGCTTGCAAAAGTGTAGTTGCATCGCTTACGCACTTCTCGTTTAACAGTACCCCAATAGCGTTCAATGAAATTGCACTCACAATGAAACTTTGGGTAAAGCTGAAAACCGTGACCGGCGCCTTGAACAGCATATGCTATAGCACTTTTTTCTGAGGTGAAGTCAAGCTGGGCACTTAAAACCTCTGTTGCTTCCTTTTTCTGCATCCCTTGTTTCCAAAGGCCTCTTTCTTCTAAAATCTACAAAAGAATGAAACAACAGTGAGTGCTATGTCTCGTGACTAATGGTACAAAAATACTAACTTCACGCATGCCTCGCAGATGAATTTTACCATCAATTCTTCTGTACATGAATTGAAACATCATTTCGTTCTTTTCATCAAAAAACCACCCATCCCGGATACGAGTTGATGGTTCGCGCAAGTATTGCTTTTGACTGATTTTTTTAGGATTAAGATTGAACTTTTGGGCCCGTAAGGCGTTCTCCCTGTAGGCATTGTGGTTGGAACTCTGGTCAAAGCAAAAGACAGCTGTTCGGGTAAGAGATTAATTACGCTGTATTAAATAATATTCAGTATATATGATATAATGATTAGAAAAACATACCTTTACAATTAGGATGCATTGCCTGGAATATAGGAATTGCTTTTTCCTTAATTGTTTGACCATATCTTCACTTTTCCAATAGCCTTCACGGTTTGCACCAGGTAAAATGATTTCTCATGCTTCATATGGAATGTCTGCATGCTCAGGGAGACTACGGAGCTCTTCTGATAGCATGAGCCGGCCATGACATGGGCACAAGAAATCGCTTACCATCAACGATGCTCCTGGTCCTTTCTTCTTTAAGGGAGTTTCGCCTTGTGCAAGCCAATTGGTTTTCTTGTCATCGTTTGCATAAAATATGCATTAGTCATGTGTTACCATCACCAGCTCAACGTCGTTTTCGTCCTCTAACACTGGCTCGACCAACTCGCCATCTTCAGTGTACGTTTTCATCTTCTTGCGGTATCCCATCATTGCCCTGGCCCAGCGAACACGGTACTCCTTTACATCATCTCTTTCGTGACCATCAAAATAGATCTGTCGACAATTTTAAAAGGAGTACGTTTAGCTATCTATCTAATGTGCTAATATATAGTTGATATTTTCCATGTACGTACATCTTTTCCACTTTCTCTATACTCAAATCCCCAGTGAGCCATATATCGTGTGATGGTGCGCTCAGATACTGCTGCGTTGCTGATATTGGATACTTTCGGAAATATATTCGTTTCTAGTTCCACCTTGAGCTCTGGGATACTCCTTTCTGCTGGCTTTCGACTACGGATCCAAGTGCAAGCTGCCTCCTTGACATTTTCATCAGCCAAAAGTGACGCAGACTTAACATGAGCACCTTGGCGATTAATGCAAATCTTGCCGGTTTCAAGATACTCTTTGGTCCACCAACGGATTCTTGTCAGCAAATGTTTATGGTGCATACTGACTTGAATCGTTAATATATTTGAAATACCGACCCAAAAAAAGAAAGTGTATCAGAGTTGTCCAAAGTGAATTTTCTGAGATTCTGACCAGCAAGATGTGTTTAATAGCATATTATAAGCATTTCTTACTCGTTATTTTATGAAAAAAGGTGTTTTGGAGAGCTCTGATAGCCATCAAAGTTTTGTCGGAATATGAAAATTTACTATATAGACCCAAGATTTCGACAAGGTGGGAGGGGTAGATCAGTGAGGTGATGTAGGCTATTACAGTCTGTGTAACATTGCATTGGTCATGGTTACACAAACACGTTATCTTCATTATCATACTGCTTTGGGTTGTGTTTCCTTCATTGATACTCGCTCATTGTAGTGAAGCTACACTACTTTGAGATTGATCCAAATAACTCAACCCACTCCACCATCTTCGTAACCATTAAAATGCAGTAGAGAAAACACCACACACATAGATGAATCAAATATTACATAATTAGCACCATATTGATAATCTCTCAAACATGGATCACAATCGAGAATGACTCAGGACCAACTATTATCAATACTTCGTTGCAATATAATATCGATAATCTCTCAAACATGAATCAAAATCGAGGATAACTCAGTACCAACCATTGTCAGTACTTCGTTTCAATCTACATTATCTGAGTTGAGCGAAGTGTACCTGTCAAAGAGCGGATATCATACGTCGATACTACAACCGTTACTAGCGTTATATTTAAGCATACAAGGATATGAAAGACGATCGTGAAGCTGCCAAGATCGTAGAGAAAAATAACTTCTAGAAGTTACAAATCCCACCGCAGAATTATTGCAAGTGATTAGTTTGTATTTTTACCTCCGTTATTTCTGACTATCATAAATAAATGAGTATAGTATCGATCATGTAATTCCCTGACTAGTGCAAACATAGAGTATGATATATGAAGAAACGTATCGGGTGTTTCAGGTGTTAATTTGGCCGCGGTGTTTCAAAAAATGCTCAATTTTCGACAGCTCACGGTTTAAGTCAGTATGCACCATAGTGTGTTTCTCCCAAATGGCATCTGCAACCAATCGTGTT